TTCAAACGACAGTGGTGGGGAGGATAGAGCTGGGGCAGGTAAGAGACTAGAGGTGAGGAATCAGCAAGAACTGGCCCCTGCCATCATCTAAGGCTATGAATGCATATTTTCTTTTATGGGGGGGAGGATATTTTACTAGAGGAAACATTAAGACATGTGGACCAGCTAAACATAAGGGATAAAGGGACCAAAGATGGCATGAAAATATCTAGCTTGAATCACTGAAGGATCAGGATTCTACTAAGAAAAAGTGTGAGAGGTCGAACAGAGGAGCAGTTTGGAAGGAAGTCAGTTTTGAATCTTCCAATCCTGAGATTACAATACAGCCAAGGAGAGGTCTGTCTTCTAGACCAGTGTTCTTCCTTTTTTTTTTCACACAGTGAGAAATATATTTACACGGCAGGCCAGTTCATACACAAGCACATATGGATAGCTACAAAACAGTCATAAAGATCACAAAACTCCTGCAGACATTTGCAAGTTTGGACTTGGAATACTAGTGGGAAGGAGGAAAGGGCTGGGTGTGTGATCAGTACTGAAGTGATAAATGAAGTCATGAGTACCAGTGACTTCCTATCCCTCAGCTGTCTGAAGTCTTGCGGTCTAAAACTTGGCAACCAACACTTTGTCAGGAAGTTAATTATCCTGCCACCATCTACCCCCAATCCAATGTCCCAGAGGCCTCCAAGAGAAGCAAGATGCCAGCAGAGAGGCCACACACGTTTCAGGTAATTCTAAGTAGGTCCACTGCCAACCTGCCGAGCACACTGTTAGAAATTACTCTCCTTTAAGAAATATCTCAGCCGGGCTTGGTGGCTCAGCCTGTAATCCCGCGCTTTGGGAGGCTGAGGTGAGTGGATTGCCTGAGCTTGCGGGTTCGAGACCCACCTGGGCAACTTGGCAAGACCTCATTTCTACAACAAATCAAAAAATTAGCCAGGCGTGGTAGCGCGCGCCTGTAGTTCCAGCTACTTGGAAGGCTGAGGTGGAAGGATCACCGGAGTCCAGCAGTTCGAGGCAGCAGTGGCCATGAGCATGCCGCTGCACTCCAGCCTGGGCAACACAGAGAAGACTCCAATTCAAAAAAAAAAAAGAAAAGAAAAAGAAAAAAAAAAATCTCTCCAATCCTCAGTCTGGCTCTTCCTTGAAGAAAGAGGAAATAGAGACTATTTAGGTCTCCAGCTTTTGAGTTTCAAGGCCATGGTGCTTAAAACTGGGACAGAGAAGATAGGAAACAATTTCTCCTTGCAAAGCTGAAGTCCTAAATTGAAGCGTGAAAATGAGGCCAAGGGCCCTAGGCTAACATCTGCTGTTGGGTCAGAGCCCGAATGAGCTCAAGCCCAAGCTTAGTGACACTTGGCTCTGAGGAAGGAGGGAGCCCAGAGGGTTAGTAGAGTCCCCACTGAAAACAGCAACACATACGGAAAAACTGGTTTAAAAGGAAAAGCTGCTTTTCCTATCCAAAGGACATTACCCTGCTTGGTCAAATTAAGTCACTTTGTCATGGGAGAGCATCTCTGCAAAGTGGACACATTTCCTACAGAAAGATACTTTATAAGAAATGAAAATAAGTCAGTCAATTTTTTGGCCTTAGAAGCTTAGTTTAAAAAAAAGTTTCAAGCCGGGCTCGGTGGCTCAGCCTGTAATCCCATGCCTTTGGGAGCCTGAGGTGAGTGGATTACTTGAGCCCACGGGTTCGAGACCCGCCTGGACAGGCGAGACCCCATCTCTACAATAAATCAAAAAATTAGCCGGGCGTGGTAGCTCGCGCCTATAATTCCAGCTACTCGGAAGGTTGAGGCGGAAGGATCACTGGAGCCCAGTAGGCCGAGGCTGTGGTGGCCGGGAGCAGCCACTGCAATCCAGTCTGGGAGACAGAGTGAGACTCCAACTCAAAAAAAAAAAAAAAATTTTCAGGTTGGCCATGGTAGCTCATGCCTATAATCCCAGCACTTTGGGAGGCTGAAATGGGAGGATCGCTTGGAGTTCAAGACCAACCTGGGCAAAATACAAAAAATAAGTTAGCCAGGCACGGTGGCATGCGCCTGTAGTCCTGGCTACTTGGGAGGCTGAGGTGGGATCACTTCAGCCCAGGACGTCAAGGCTGCAGTAAGCTATGATCATGCCACTGCACTCCAGTCTGAATGACAGAGTGAGACCTTATCTCTAAAAAAAAAAAAAAAAAAAAAAAAAGGTCCAATGCACCAGCTGGTCAAATACCATGTCACTGCCGAGCTTTTTTCTGTTCAGGGGAAGGAATAAATGAAGAGGTGGAAGACAGAGGCAGTAGTTCAGGTGGCAGGTGCTCCTGAAAGCTGCTTTTCCCATATCGGGGCTGATGTTCCAGGTTTCCAGAAGGCCATTGCTGACGACGGCGTGTCTGGGCAGCTCTTAACACCCCACTCTAAGAAACAAGCCTTCATGGCAAAGGTCCCAGGGAGTCAGACTCCATCTCCCCTCCACAAAATATGAAAACAGACTGAGGAGTTGGCTTAAAAATGACAAAACACAGGCCATTGAGGCCTGGAGCCGCTTACTCACCACACCCTTTCCCAGGCCCTGAGCGTCACCTCATTCTCCTCCAGCCCCCTCTCTCCACTTTAATGGAAAAGATCGCCAAGATATACGTCAGCTCTTCCCTCTCTCATAGGCCCTCCGCATTCCTGTGGTATGCCCCTCTTGGCAGGAACATAACTCAACTCTAGGAAACGTACACCAGAGGCAGTGTTTTGTCCAAGAATTCTCCTAGATCCCTGCGTCTAGTCTCCCGAAGGCCTCCAGACCATTCCATTATCACCAACCCAAATCTCTGCCCCTCCTACCAGGCGCCAGAGGCCCAGCTGAAGAGTCTCCCATTTCTGCATGACAGCACACTCACTCTGGGACTCCTCCAGCCCCGGGAGTCTTCTTGGCACTTTCACCAGCCCCACCCTGCTTCTACCTTGTTAATATTCTGAGAACAAGCACAGTCTAGATACGCCCATGCCAAGCAAGACTGCCAGAGAAAAAAAAGAGAGCCACGGGTGTCAGAAGACAGATCCGGGTCTGGAATGGAAGGAGGTTTCCGATGCATTTTTGAAGCCGGTAGAGGAAATTGGCTGAAAAGGAAAAGGGGGAAGAAAAATTGCCACTTTCAATTGAAGGAGAGAAAAAGGAGCTAGAAAGAAAATAAGGCCAGGGATGGGACGGGGGGTGGGGGAGGGTTGTGCTTCTGGTTTCTTTGGCCCAAAGAAGATTCAGATATGTGTAAATTCAGCTATGTCCCCATTTGCCCTGCAGTCAACTGCCTTCTTGGCAGAAAGGGAAAAAAAGATCATGGGATTCATTGAATGATGCCCAGAGATGGCCAGAAACTAACCCATTAAACAGCGCAGTCACCATTTCCAGGGCTCTTTACTTCTGCAAAGGACAGAGAGTTACTCTTCTACCTCCACTGTTGACGGGCACTTCTCTATGCAATCACAGGACCTCCTTCTGACCAGCGCTTTTCCAAATGAGGATACAAAGTGGCCACGCATAGGGATCCCACAAGGCCACTGTCCCAGAAAGGGTCAGAGCTCAAGTTAGGGATCACCTCCTACAATCAGGACTCAGACCACGGAGCTGAGCTGCTTCCAATGCCTCTAAATGCCACAGAGCCCTCATACATGTTTGGGATGTTTGCACCACACCTCCTAGATATACACAACAGGGTGCCCATCTTCAAGAGGCACTAAAATTATGTTCCTTCATCCTCCTGAAAGTAAAAGGAAACGACGCCAGGCAGTCAAGGAGACATACATAATTTATTAAATTCATCATACAAAGAAAATGCCACAGAAAAAAATATCAGAATTGGAAGGGACATGGAGATCACCTGGTCCGATCCCCTCATTTAACAAATGAAGGAACTGCCTGAAGTCCCAAAACACCATTCTGGACAAAGCCCAAATGCGAGGCCAGTCCCAACACACAGACTTGTTTAAGGCTTCTGGTTGAGAGCCACACAGAGCCTAAAGACTTGATCCATATTTATTTTTAACTCTTCTGTTTCTTATAGTACCTCCCACTCTGATGCTTATCTACTTCTCAAGGCTGTGGAAAGAGCCCTGAAGAAAAGCACAGTGATCTGCAGTCATTGAGAGCCAGGATAAAAGACCAATTATGGAGCAGAGGGGTTCAGAGGGGTTAGGGAAGAAGTCATTCCCGCCCAGATGAGCCCTGACTGCCCTCTTCCCTCAAACCACACTCACTCAAGACCCCGATGCCTCAGAGAACATCTACTTGCTTTCCCGAGGTGCAGAAGCAGTCTGGAGAAGGAAGGGCAAAGGGGCAGGTAGAGGAAAGGGTGAGAAAGTTTTATAACAGTGTTATTCTGAAATTAACAAGTCCAGTGTGAACACTTCTCTCAGTTTTAAGCAAACCCAAACACTGTAAGAGAATGCTGTAGACCTTTGGTTTTTTGTGCTTTTTTTTTTTGAGTTGGAGTCTCACTCTGTTGCCCAGGCTGGAGTGCAGTGGCTGCTCCCAACCACTGCAGCCTCAACCTGCTGGGCTCCGGAGATCCTTCCGCCTCAGCCTTTCAAGTAGCCGGAATTACAGGCATATGCTACCACGCCCGGCTCATTTTTTGATTTATTGTAGAGATGAGGTCTCGCCAAGTTGCCCAGGTGGGTCTCGAACCTGCGGGCTCAGGCAATCCACTCACCTCAGCCTCCCAAAGGCGCAGGGTTACAGGCTGAGCCACCAATCCCAGTTTGACCTTTCGTATTAAATCAATTATGAGAGGTAAGCAAAAACAGCAATAACTTTGCAAAATATGGTGAGGATTTTGCTGGGAGCTAGTGAAAACACAGGTTTTAGGCTCTGGGTCAAGAAGACTGAAGTGTGCCTTGTGGTGCACCTTAGGGGACACCCAGAGAGACTCTGGGAGTTTTCACAGCAGAGTGAAGTCACACAAAACCATCCATGGTGAATCTTTCTGCAAAAAGCTACTCCCTTAATGTGCATTCCCTTTGCCCCAGAAAGTCAAGACCATCCAGCCAAAGTTTGGGTGGGTTCACTGACTCTGACCAGGCCTTTCCAGCTATCCCCACTGTCTGTCTACAGGAGGCCAGGGCAACACAGGCTGAGGGTGGAGCAAATAGAAAAACAGTTTGTTGCTAAGAACCAAGCTGTGTTTGTAGAAGGAACTTCACTTCCTCAAGATATTCTCCGATCACTCTGGACATCGGTGCCTCTAGCTTTCGGGGCTGAGGCAAATCTTGTCACCTCTCCCAACCAGACGAAGGCCTGGTTTCTGGGGCAGCTGGACTCCAGTCTACAACAGAAGGTTCTCTACAAAGAACAGTAACTACAGGAACAAGGATGCTGCCCTGGCTCCTGCCGGCAAGACCAGGGCTTCCAAAGGGCTGCAGCGTCCAGAGGAGGCGCTCTTGCTCTGTCTGCCCAGCATACAGAGCACAGGAGCTTGGGAATGGGCCACAGGAGCCCGAGCCCTGAGTGCAGCCAGGGAACAGTCCAGAAGTTAAAGTCAGTGCTAACAGCCAACAGGGCGGTGGGCTTCTCCGCAGGCAGGAAGCAGCACCAACACAGCAGCCATCTGCAGGCAGTTCAGGTTTCCACCACTCGGATGACAGGCATGGGCTTCGGGCTAGGGGGCTTGGATATCCTAATACTGAAAAGCAAGTTGGGAACACTAAGTGGTGCTGGAAACAGCTGTGAGGCTGCCCACCCCTCACAGAGCCCCCTACCACATCTGCCTCTGGAATCTTGTATTTCAGCGCTGGCTGATTGCTTGGATCCCAAGCGCTTCGAAACAGTAACTGTCAGTGACATCTATGAGGAGATTTGGGGTATGATACAGTCATTTAGTATCAGGGATGGTAAAAAGAGAGGGGCAGTTAAACACTGAGAAGTGGATATAACTGTGAGTCTTGACTTCTGTCAAGGTCTTGGGCCCTTTTGTGATCTCTTAGAGGCAAAAGACCCTTCTCTCTAGATATATGCAAATGTTACAAATTATTATTTTTTTTTTGGAGTTGGAGTCTCACTCTGTCGCCCAGACTGGAGTGCAGTGGCCGCTCCCGGCCACCGCAGCCTCGACCTGCTGGGCTCCGGCGATCCTTCCGCCTCAGCCTTCCAAGTAGCTGGAACTGCAGGTGTGCAATACCACGCCCAGCTAATTTTTTTTTTTTATTGTAGAGATGAGGTTCGCCAAGTTGCCCAGGCGGGTCTCGAATCCACGGGCTCAGGCAATCCGCTCTCCTCAGCCTCCCAAAGCCGCGGGATTACAGGCTGAGTCACCGAGCCTGGCACAAATGCATTTTGAATGAAATTTCAAGGGGTTCACCCACCTCTAGTAGCCACACATGGACCTCCTTGGGCCTGTGGCACCAGTTTCCACTCTAACCAGGTTAGAAATGTTTCAGGTGGGGAAAGGCTTAATGACTTAGGGAGGAAAGTGGGACTTTTAAAATTTTTAAATTTGTACTGAAGAGGTCTTGTTATGTTGCCCAGGCTGGTCTCAGATTCCTGGGTTCAAGCAATCCTCCTACCTTGGCCTCCCAAAGTGCTGGGATTACAGGTGTAAGCCACTGTGCCCAGTCAAAAGTTGGAATTAAAATGCCTTGTTTTTGCCTTTGCACTAAAGGTCCCACATAGCTCTGTCCTTTCTTTCTTCCTTCCCTTCCTCCCTGGACCCATTCTATCTACATGCTCTCACTCACCTGCCAGGGTTCTCTGTCTTGGCCCGGGCCTGGGTGCTGAAGTTGCCATGACTGATTTGTTTTTCGATCAGGTGTTCCATCCGGTCATGCATCTCTAAATTCTGTCATACAAGCTATGGGGTTAGAATCGGCCTTTTTCTGGCTTTCCGTGTGTCGCATGTAGCTGGCGCACTCTAGTTTCTCCACCTGCATCTGGGCTGCCATTGCCCCCACCCTTACCATGCAAGCACCACCCGGATGCCCTTTCCCCTTGTCTCCATTAGAGCAGATTGTTTTTTGGTTTTTTTTTTGAGTTGGAGTCTCACTCTGTCGCCCGGACTGGAGTGCGGTGACCGCTCCCGGCCACCGTGGCCTCGACCTCCTGGGCTCCGGCGATCCTTCCGCCTCGGTCTTCCGAGTAGCCGGAACTACAGGC